TGTGGATAAGGGCACAGAGTCCCATGGGAATGTTTGCCGTTTTAGTAGACTTTGATTAGAGAGTCACTCCTTCGATGGTTCAGTCTTCATTGGGTGGACATTTCAGTCCTAGACATTGAGGCATAGAATCTTGCTGAAAGGGGGCATTAGAAGTCATTTAGTCTAAAGCACAAAAGCCAATGTTATGCGTCCCCCCCCCCAAAATAAAGGTTATTTAACCTCAAAAGTCAGGAGGATGAAAGGTAAAGGGGACAAAGAAGATCCCCTCACCCACAACTTTGAATCAAGGTGGACCAGAGGTTGCTTCCCAACTCTGCCAGTCATTCTAGATGAGTCCTTCCCTTTTCTGAGCCTGAGTTCCCCCTCAGTAAAATGGGAGTGCTTAGACTTGTAGCAAAGGTAGCTACCATTTGAAGGTTTGGAAAACACTTTGCATACAATGGGGTACAGTGGCCAGAGAGCAGGATTTGGAGCCAGAGGGCCTGGGTCCCAACCCTGCCTCTGCTTGGACTTTCTATGTGCCCCTGGCAGATCACTTAAGCACAGCTCTGACTGTGATCACACTCTTGCTCAGAAAACTCCTACGGTTCCTTACTATCTCCAGGATCAAATGCGAACTTCTCTGGCAGGAAAGCCCTTCACACACTGGCTCAGCTCTCTCATTTTTCCTCACTCATGACCCTCCCATCTCCTGCCTCTTCACATAGGCTGCTTCAGGGTCTGGAATCCTCCCCAGTTCACTTAATAGTTCAACTAAAGCACCAACTCTCTATTTGAAGCCTTTCCTGAAGTCTCCTAAAAGTTAATATTTTCCCTGCCTCCCCCCCAAAAGAAACAACAAAACCTATATCTCCTGTGTTGTGCATATTTACATAGGTATATATTCTCTTCCCCCAAAGAATTCTTATTATTTCTAATCTACCTTTGAATCTTCAGTGCTTAGCACAGTGCCAGGGGCACAGCAGGCAGCTTAGTAAATACTTGTTGATAAATGGATTCATTGAATTCAGCCTTCTGTGCCTCAGTTTCCTTATCTGTAAAATGTAGGGGTTGAACTAGATGACCACTAAGGTCCCTTCAAGCTCTAAATTTATGATTCTCTGATCATATGAGTCTTAAAACAGGACTGTGAGATAGGACCTCTCATTATCCCCAGCTACGAGGCATAGGGGTTACAGAAATGGACTTACAGTTAGGAAGACATAGATTCTAATACTGCCTAAGGCACTTGCTAGCTGTGTGACCCTGGGCAAGTCACTTAACCCTTTGAGCCTCGTTTTTTCCTCATCTGTAAAATAGGGATAATAATAGCACCTACCTCCCAAGGTTGTTGTGAGGATCAAATGAGATACTATATGCAAAGCACTTTGCAAACTTTAAAGTGTTATGAAAATACAAGTTATTATTATTATTTTTACTTTTAGAACCTTAAAGCAACCCTGTGACATTGGAGCAATTATTATCACTAGCAGGTTTCCATAGTGGACAAAATACTAGACTTCATATTAGTAACACCTACGAGTCAATGCTACCTCAGACATTTACTCTGGACAAGTCCATTATCCTCTTTGATCCTTCACTTCCCCATCTGCAAAGTGAGAATATTTGACAGGATTGTTATAAAGACCAAATGAGATACTCTATATAAAGAACTTTATGATCCCTGAAGTGCTACATTAATATTTTTGTTGTTGTTCAGTCATTTCAGTTGTGTCTGACTCTTCGTGACCCCATTTGGGGTTTTCTTGGCAAAGATACTGGAGTGGTTTGCCATTTCCTTCTCCTGCTCATTTGACAGATGAGGAAACTGAGGCACACAGGGTTTAGTGACTTGCCCGGAGTTATGAAGCTTGTTCGTATAAATGTGTAACATAAATGTTAGCTATCATTATTTGGTAGATGAGTAAACAGGCACAGATGAAGCTCATGGACTTGCCCATGGTCACATAGCTAATAAATACCTTTGGTGCCTACTTCAGAGGGTCGCTTCAGGCACCAAAGAGATAATATCTAGAAAGTACTTTGCAAACCTTCAGGTAACTATAAATATCCATTCTTTTTATTTTTCAGGATCCAGCCCTGCCTGGGTCCCTGTTCCCCACCCCATCCCCAAATGCTCATTGCCAGCCTCCAAGACAATGCCTAGGATGTATCAGCACAAACAAAAAACCTCAAAACAGAAATCTGTCCCCTCCCCCAGAGTGAATAACCCCAGGTTCCCAGCAGCTGGGACTATAAGAAAGTTGAATTGAAGAATGGATTTCCAGAGCAGGGGTGTGGGACAGGGGGGTCTCAGGCTGGGAGGGGGCCAGAACTCCAGTTCAATGGAAGGAAGGCCTCTCTTTCTAGAGAAGCCCGCCGGCCAGGCTGCCGGGCTGGAGGCGCTGTGGATGGGCCCAGGCCCCCTGGCAGAAGTCACTCTGCTGGAAAATTTACAGCTCTCTGTCGATTGTTTGGTTTGGCACTGGGCTCAGGATGCTGCCTTGTAAATGTAATAATAGCTGCCCCCTTTTTAATTTGTTTGACCTTGGTGACAATAATTTATTATATGCATTAGATCGCTGTTGGGTTTTTTCTTTTTTTTTTTTTTTAATTCCCAAACAAAGTGCTTGGCTTGGTTTTTCTCACCGTGTTCCCTGGCCATGGGTTTGCTGCTGATGGAGGCAGGAGGGAGGGAGAGCTGAAAAGCCCCAGACATCTTTCAGCCTGTGTTTGAAAAGCAATGAAGGAGACTTCCTTTCACACTTATCAGGCTTCCCTCTTAGGCTGCTGGCCTGCCTGCCTGCCGAAGGGGAGGCTGAGTTTGAAAGGATCTCATCTGGGGAGCAGCACAAACCACAGGCGTCCTCGGGGTGTGGAGAGGACCATGGGAGCAGAGATTTGGAGCTGAAAGGGCCCTCCGAGGTCACTGAGGCCAGCCCACTCACTTGACAGATGAGGTCACACACACACACACACACACACACACACACACATCTGACAGATGAGATGGTGAGAAGACAGAGCCAGCTCTGGAAACCAGGTGCTCTGGCTTCTGTGCCCTTTTCATGAGATGGCATTGCCCAGATCCTAGATTGTAATTATCTGTCCTTCACTCTCGAAGAGTACCAATGACATCAGAGGAATGATGTCTTGACTTGCCTATGAATTGGATTTGAAGGAGGCAGGGCTGCTCCAAGTGGTCAGCTTTGCTCTCTCCTCCAGAATCATTGGAGTCCAGTGGCAGGACAAAAGTCAAGACAACCGTCGATGGCCCCTCTAGATTAGACCAGCATAGAGTAGGGTAGGGTCACCGACAGACTACCTAAGGATGTATTGGGTTGCCTCCCCACTGGAAGGCTTATAGGATATAGTAAAGGGATTTATTGGTCAGGTATGGGTTGAATTCAATAGCCACTGAACTCCTTCAAGCCCTGAGATTTGGTATCTATAGTGCATTTATTACACACCTACTGTGTGCTAGGCAGAATGGTGTCGTGTATAGACAGTTGGCCTCAGATCCAGGAACACCTCAGCTCAGTTCCTGCCTTGGTCACCTGTTGGCTGGATGACACTGGGCAAGGTGATTAACTTCTCTGGGCACCGGCAATTCTCTAAGACTGTAAATTACAGAACGTGTAGCAGGTATCTGCCCTGGTAAACGAAGTTTCCTCACCGATCAAATTACAAAGCCAGCTACCTCCTTCCTCTCCCCACACACAAAAGTGCTAGTGTTGGGGCCCCAAAGACAAAGAAAGAAGCATTGCCTGACCTCGGAGGCTTCTGTTCTACTGTTCCAACCCCCTTCTTTTTAGAGAGGATGAAACTGAGATTTAGGGAGAGCACAGTCGAGTATCACACCAAGATGCTTGGAGTTGGGGCTTAATCCAATGATCCTGACTCCAGGGCTGGTCTTTTTCAATCACACTCAGCAGCCCAAGTCAATATACCAACAAGCATTTAGTAAACATCAGCAGGCACTGGGAAGAGAAAGAAAAACAGCACAGAGAGGCCCTGCCCTCAGGAGGCTTCTATTTTATCAGAACCCACTGAAAGAGTACATTCCCTCCTTGGAAAATGAGCTATAGGAGAGAGGCAAAGACAGAGAGAGGATGAGAGACAGAGAGAGAGAGAAAAGAAGAAGAAAGAGGAGGAGGAAGAAGAGGGAAGAAAGAGAGAGAGGAGGGAAGAGAGAAGAAAAGAGAAGATATAGATAAATATAGATACAGATTTAATAGCTAACATTTGGCAAACCACTCCAGTATCTTTGCCAAGAAAACCCCCATGGACAATTGGTCCACAGAGGTCATGATCGGTCAGACACAACTGAACAATTCAACAACAATATAGCACCTACTCTATACCAGGCACTATTATGCTAAGTACTTATTACAAATATTATCTCATTTGATCTTCCCAACAACACCGGGAGATAGGTGCTATCATTATCCTCATTTTACAGATGAGGAAACCGAGGCAGACAGGGGTTGAGTGACTTGCCTAGGGTCATAGAGCTAGTAAGTATCTGAGGCTAGATTTGATCTCAGGTCTTCTTGACTTCCTGACTTCAGGAGACATCTAGCTGCCCTATCTATATCTATATCTATGTATATGTCTATATCTATGTCTATATCCATATCTGTAACGGTATCTGTGTCATCTTTGGCATCTAATACATATATAAATATATATTTGTATAGCCACGCAATATACATGTATATGTGAACATATGGTATGTATATATACATGTATGCATGTTTATACATGTAGGTGTGTATATACACATATTTTTAATATCAGTTTCTTATTTATGTTGTATATATTTTTATACATATACGTAATAGGGAGTACTTGTCCAACCTATTAGAATGGAGGCTCTCTCCAAGTAGGGATTGTTTCATGCTTTGTATGGGTGTCCCCAGGCCTGGCACAGAATAGGCATTTATTACTTGTCGAATTGATGGATTAATTGATCGCCTGAACGAGTGAGTGTTCCCAGCATGTTGTGCTTTTTCTTGCAGAGGATCGCACATTCCGCTGCGAGGAATGTGATGAGCTTTTCCAGTCGAAGCTGGATCTCCGGCGGCATAAGAAATATACCTGCAACTCTGTCAACACCCTCTATGAGACCCTGAATGAGGAGATCAAACAGGAGGGGGTCAGCGATGGGCAGATTCACGAGTGCAAGGACTGCGAGAGGATGTTTCCCAATAAGTACAGGTACCATCTCTCTGTTGGCCCCAAAGAGAAGGAAGTATGGAAAGCCCTCCCTCAGGTTTTTCTATCCCCAACTGATGGGGCCTTCCCACTCTTGGCCAACTGTGCCATCTTCACGGTATCCTTTCCTAGGAGCTGGGCCCGGGGAATCATAGAGTGAGAGCTGGGGGAGCCCCGGGAGATCTTCAACTCCAATCTGCTCATTCTACAGAGGAGAAAACCAAAATCCAAGTGTCAAAGTTGAGTAATATTTATGAAGCACCTACTATATGCCAGGCACTGTGCTAGATCCTGAGGATGCAAAGAAAGGCCAACAAAAAGTCTTTCCTTTAAAGATCCTCACAATCTGACGAGGAGACAACATGTAGATAACTGTGGTCGATACAGAAATGAATTGACCAAGGTCTCCCAATTGCAGGAATCAGACTGAGACCTTCTGTCTCAAAATCTATCTCAAAAAGCAGCCTTTCATGCCACACACAAAAAAGAGAGGTTAATACAGGGCTCCTTCACCTTTTGGGGTATCATGGACCCCTTGGACAGAAAGGCTAATAAAGCCTTTGGAGCCCTTCTCATAATCATGTTTTTAAATGCATAAAATTAAACACAGGATTACAAAGAAAACTGATTATAGTGATAGTTATTGAAATATGTATATATATGAATATGTATATATGTATATATATGCATATATATGTATAAACCTGGGACAGCTAGGTGGTACAGTGGATAGAGCATCAGCCCTGGAGTCAAGAGGACCTGAGTTCAAATGCAGCCTTAGACACTTACTACCTGTGTGACCCTGGGCAAGTCACTTAACCCCAATTGCCTCCAAAAATAATAAATAAAAAATAAACCCAAGTTCATGGACCCCAAAGGAATTAGGAACTCCGTCTTTAATAGGACCTAACTAACAGGCTGATGGAGACATCTCTGGTCGGCTGTGATCCTCAAGAAGGCAGAGAAATAAAAAATTTTAGTAGTGTCCGTGGCAGAGTAATTGTGGTAGAAGAAACAGCAGCTCTCGTGTATTTATTGACCTTTGATATTTGCTAAACATTATTCTCATAACAACCCTGTGAAGTAGGTCAGGCAAGAATTATCCCCATTTTACAGATGGGGAAACTGAGGCAGAGTTTCGTACAATTAACATGTATCTGAGGCAGGATTTGAACTCAATCAAGTCTTCCTGACTCCAGATTAAGTGCTCTATCCATTGCATTACCCAGCTCCCTCGATATATCAGAGAAGTATCAGAATGTCTCTTTCCTGGGCCCTTCCTAGAGCTTCAAACTAGATAAATAATTCCTCAGAATTTTATGTAGGTCTCATCGAGGGTCTCACTTGGGAACACAAACCCTCCGCCCTTAACAGATGACTGAGAAAATAAATGTTTCACCAAATCTCCCAAGATGCTTTCCCAGTAAGCAGTATTCAAGAGTGTCTGTGTTTTCTTTAAATAAACACATAAATCACAATTACCAATGAGGGGAAAAGATACAATTTCCTGATGCTAAAAAGCCCAGAGTTTCCATATCAGAATGGATTATTAGTCTCTGTAATTAACGGGCCATGATGTATTACTGTGTTACTCATGAAGATTAACAGTCATAACGTATGAGCAAAGGAGGATGTCCCAGGAGACCAAGTGGATTAGAAACCACTCATTTATCCAAACAGGACTTGGCCATTCTGGGCAGCTGTGTTCTCTCCTCCTTATCAAGTCTCATTTCTAAGGCACTCATTTGCTACTAACTTTTATGAGCAGCTCTAACAGAAGGGAGCACTCAGATCTCTCTATGCCTTGATCTGTTCCTTAGAGCCTCGTGGTTAAGGAATATGGCATGAGACAGGAAACCTAAGTTCTGGTCCCAGCCTTGGCTTCTCTTGGTTCTCTCTGAATGACTTTAGGGGACCCTACCACCATCCAACACTTCCTGTTTCCAGGACCCTATATCTCTTCCTTGGGAGCAAATGAGATAGTAGGACATAATGGGTGGCTTTGGAGTCAGGAAGAGCTGAGTTCAAATCCTGCCTATGATACTTCTTGACTGTAGTACCTTGAGCAAGTCACTTAAACTCTTAAAGCCTTAGTCAATTCTCTAAAACTATAAATTGCAGAGAAGGTATAAAGCAGTATTGGTAAAGGGAGTTTCCTCACTTCGGAGTTCTCAACATCCCTGAAATCCCAAATCCTTGAGGAACAGCTTATCATAGGGGATAGATGAACTTGGCGTTAGGAAGACTTGGGTTCAAATCTTGCCTCAGACATTTATTGGCTATGTGACCTTGGGCAAGTCACTTGACCCCTGGATGCCTCTATTTCATCTTCTGTAAAATGAGGGAGTTGGACTTGATGGTTTCTGAGGTCCCTTCCAGTTCTTAGATCTATGATCCAATCTCCCACCCTCCAAGAAGGAAAGAAGGGAGGAAAGAAAGAAAGAAAGAAAGAAAGAAAGAAAGAAAGAAAGAAAGAAAGAA